ATCCTTTCATATGAAATTCTTACAAATGAATCAAAACCACAAAACATTCAGTCTCCTTCTTCTCCTATGTAGATGGCTACAAAAATTCTAACAGCAAGAAGAAAGACACTTTGGAAGAAATATCTTTACACAATTTTTTTTTTTGTTTTTGAGCACTCACTACATTTGCAAACTTATATAATTACTTAAAAAGCAAAACATGATTTTTGTGGTTCCCTGTCTTTCCGCCTTCTAAGGTGCAGATTATTTAACTGCTAGGATATTTCTTTTAATTTCCTATATTTAATTAGCTCAGACTGTTACCCATCTTCTTACAATGAATCTGACTTATACTGATATAGACAGACCTGGAAAAACTGGTCAAGCGTGAACTTTCTCTTAGCAGGACATAACGCTGTTAAAGGTAAGTAGTTTCTTATCAATTAAAATCATATTCCTGTTTTTTAGTTACTGAAGTAACTATAAAACTAAATAGTAAAAAGATCTCCATAAGATGCACTTTACACTCAGCCTATTCAACCAACACCATACTCACTTAGCGCATGTGAGTATCAGACAGGGAACATCTGAGAATATGTCCACTGCTAAAGAAATAGTGCCTCATGCATCAGTATGTCATGGTCCTCCAAGAACACTTGATAATCAAATATTCTCTGCTAAATTTTAGAAATATCTTGCATTAATAAACTAGTGTCATACTCAAAGTGATTCTCGATTTGTTTCATTTTGACTCCGATTTTCTTTCATCATGTGCAATACTACACTAATATATAGACTCAAATACAATTATAATGATCCTAAGGTTTAAATGACAGAAAAACAAAATAATCATTGGACAATTCTCTTTTGCCTTTTTATTTCTATGTTAAGAGGAAAACAAATCTTGTAAAGGATCACCCAAGTAGCTTTTTACTCTTTTCTAAAATTTATTAAAAATAAGGCATTATATGTGACTTGTGCTAACTCACTTCTTTCTTTATTCTCTTAGTCCTTGAAATCAATGTCTTCTAAGTACAATCCCTGAGATCACCCGTTTCAACATCATGATGAAAGCACAGACTTATGGGAACCTATCCCAAACCTACTGATTAAAAATCTTAGGAGGGAAGCCGACAAAGTCTACATTTAAAAAATACAAGTCTCCCGGGTGAGATTAGTCACTATTAAATTTAAGGACCACACCCTTTATATTATACAAAATATCAGCCCAATGCTGTATTTCAGTTGCCTGGTATTTCTGAGCAACTATCAGTAGGCCAGTCACTACATGATTAGTTTTGAAAGGTTCTGTATAAATTATATTCACGAACTGTTGTGAAGGAAAAAAGTATGAGAGCACTTTGAAAAACAAACATCTATAAAACAAAAAGTTTAACCCAAACATAGACAGTATTTAAGACCCATTCTAGGTCTAAAATTCTAGTGTCATTTTTGTTTTCTTTCCTCATACTGACAAAGGATGGAATGCAAATACATGGTTAAGGGAATAAGAGGTTCCAAAGCTACCTTTAGTCTTGGCAGATGGCCCATAAAACAATGCTCTGCTGACTTGATTGTAACAATTCTATTAAACATAAAATACTATATCACACTTACTCTTAAGTCCCTGTTCACAACCATTCTATTTAATCCAATCTTCTCTCAGTATTTCTTCTGCTATAACTGTACTAACATTCCAGAAAGAAAATTTTTTTCCTAAGCAAACATTGCATCAACATGATATTACCATTAATTTAATGTGTAAGAAAGGGCAGAAATAAGTTTGAGTATTCAGACTGAGGGCTTCAATTATGCCCACTGATCACATACTATAATTCAAATTAACCACATTAACACAATTAGGGTATCCATAGTCAAAATCCATTGCAACCAATCCCTGTTAGATGTATAGCGTAAATTCCAGTTTTCCTTCAAACAGTGCCAGTGTCTAACATTTATAGTAAATTCCACTAAAAGGGAAGAAAAAAAAAATTGAACTGATAGAGACATACTTGGGGTGGAGGGACAAAACTGGATATGGGGTCAAATACCTGTAATCCCAGCAAACAAAGATTTGAGGAAAGAGGATCACATATGAGACCAGCCTCAGCAACTTAGCAAGACCCTGTCTCATTTAAAAACAGCAACAATAAAAAACCAAAACCAGAAAAACCAAAACAAAAAGGGCTGGGAATGGATGCAGCTTGGTGGCAAAGCATCTCTGGATTCAATTTGTAGCCCAAAACAAACCAACTAAACTACAGTGAGAGAAATGAAGTTTAGAAACTAGAAATTTGGGGGGCAGGGAGAAGAAAGAAGAATGAAAATAATAGTATATTCAGAGAGAAGAATAAAGAATAAAAATACTAGTATATTCAGATAGTAGACATCTGCAAATTAAAACCAAAGAATATGGAGTGAAGACTATCTATGGCCCACAAATCCTGAAGTGTTTACTATATGGTCCTTCAAAGAAAAAGTTTGCAAGCACTGTAGTATTCTTATAGTGGAAGAAGCTGAAGTTTTGGTGCATAGAGAAGCAATTAAGGAAATGCAGGTAAAATCTTTGATTGGGGCTGAATAATGAAAGCCTTTGAATAGCAGGGGGGAAGAAAAACCAGATTTTTGCCCTCCTTTAAGGAATTCTAATAACAGGACTGAAGAAAAAAAAATCACAATCTGTATATTTAAATAAAATGTATTGGACACATACTTTGAGTCAGGTGTTAATTAAATCCTCACAATCCTGAGAGGAACTACCATCCAGTATTAAAGAAAAGAACTAACAGTCAGTGTTAAAGACGAGAAAAATATAAACTAAATCACTTGTCCTCAAAATACAACATATTATAATATCAGAATGGATTTTAAGATTCCAGTTTCACGTTAGTATCTTTTCTACTCCTCTGAAGTAGTACAGCTCCTCTGAAGTAAAGCAGGAAAAAACAATACAAAATCCTTTGGCATCTAATAATAGAAATAATAATAAAGCCAAGAAAATGTATTCACCTCTTAGCATATTTAATGTACACTAACTATATCTCTAACCTAAGTTAGCTTACTTATGAAAATACTCAATTAAAGCCATAGAAAAGGGTAATGCTAGAGTACAGATTACCAGCAAAAACCAGTAGAAAAACCATAAACTTGACAGTGAATCCACAGTAGTGCCTGCTTCAGATTCTTTGGTGTGTGAGAGAACAGGACTGATAAACTCCTGCATATAAAAACATCAGCTTCTCTTAGCTAATGAGAACAAGTCAAAATGTGGTTTACAGTGTGGTTTACAACTGTACCAATCTGTACCTTGTTTTACAATCCAATAGTCTTACTCTGTTTTAAAAGATAAAATGGACCTGGCACTGTGGCATACCCCTGTAATCCCAGTAACTCAGGAGGTTGAGGCAGGAAGAACACAAGTTGGAGACCAGCCTCAGCAACTTAGTGAGGCCCTGTCACATAATAAAAAATAAAAAGAACTTGGGAAGTAGCTTAGTGGTAAAGGACCCCTGCTTTACCAATCTCTAGTACCAAAAAGATAAAATGAAATAAAAAGCAGAGGACTTCTAGGGAAGTCCCTCTACATAGTTTGTATTTTCTTCTTCCATTTATTATACTTGATTTTTAAAGTATTGGTGGCAAAATTTACAGTGTTCATTCAAAAGTATTACGTTTTCTATGAACTTTTATGCGCTCAAAACTAGAAATTTTAATAATTTTTGCTTTACTTTTGGGAGGGGATGCCCGGATCTGAATCAACAATTTTTAATTGGCTTTCCTCAGACAGAACCCCAAATCTTCAAAGACTGAACTTAAACACAGAAGTCTTTCTCTAGGCCTTAAATCTCTCACCTAAATTCATGTAAGATCATCTGATGTTACCTGTAACATTAAACACTGTTCTTTGCAATTCACACATATATGTACGTAATTCTTAGTCAAAATCCTTAGGGTAAAGATGTGTTTCTGAATTCACAATTGTGCAATGCCATACAGATATATCATTAACTTAACAATGTCAGCAGTATCTGTGCTAGCTTTCTGTAATTAAACATATTATTTCTGCAGCAAAATATGACTACTCATATTGTAACTTGAGGCCAGGTTTTATATCACTTGTCATACACATGCACCAAAATTACCTGGTACTTTCAGCTTTTAGAATTAGAATAAATGATTGTGAAATTATATGAACTCATAAAAGCCAATGGGGCAGAAACGGGTACTGCTTTATGCCAGTTTTCCCATCTATAAAACTGGGATGACAATAGTATCCCCCTCATTGACTAATTATTTGCAGAACCTTCTATAAAAGGAAAGAACCTTGGTTTCCTAATAAGCTATCTTATTTAACAAAGTGAGGATAATGTTGTGATCTTTAGGAATATACCTTCCCAATGTATGTACAAAAAATAAATCTCAACTTGCTTCATTTTCAGATGGCTGATTCAGTAATAAAAATGACTCACTGACAAACCAAATCATTCACATGAAGAGGGAGCCACAGTTGTCTAAAGCATGGGTCGAGTTTAGTTTCATATCCAGCTTCATCACTTACCAATGAAATGAATTTGGGCAAAGAATTTATTCTTTTCTTTAGTTGTGATGGACCTTTATTTTATTCATTTATTTATATGTGATGCTGAGAATCAAACTCAAGTGTTTCATACATGCTAGGCAAGTACTCTACCACTGAGCCACAACCCCAGCCCAAAATTGGCCTCATTTTTCTAATCTTTCATAATGGGACAGCTATCACTACCCCCAAAGGATTATAAATGAGGTAGTATCACCCTATCTACGGAAAAATGCTGTCACACAGTATCTTCTACTGTTTACCTTATGGGTTCACAATGTGTATGATTTTAGACGATTGGGGTGGAGGGCAAGTTTACTAATGTAAGAGGAGAGGCCAAGAGGTAAATTAATTCCAGAAGCAGTAACAAGGATGGCCCCAAATAGTAACATTGTGGGTACATCAGCAATTGCAATATGCCCACAAATTTCCAGAATAAAGTCTCTTAATGGAAAACAATCTTTTTATTAAGAAAATACACAATTGGAGACAAAGGAAACCAGGTCAATGTGGATGATTCCTCTTACTTAAGACTACATAGCTTCAAGTTTAGAGCTGGTTACAAAGTATAAGTGGCTCTAATATTTAACAAAAATAAACCCAACCCAGGAATTTTCTAATTATTTTTGGAAGTGTTAGTAATAGATACAAACAAATCTGGACAAAGCAGATCCCAGAGGGATTATAAGTGTATTAGGCTGATCAGATGGTAAATTAATATGCAATTTTGCTCTGGGTCATTGAGACTACCTCAGAGATCAATTACCTCAGTTGATATGGAATTAAATGGGAGGAAAAAAAACAACATCCAAATACTGAATTAAAATTTCTCTCTAAATTACTTATGACATGCCGATACACCTCATTTTAATAAATGTTTATTTGAATTCATCTAGAAATTTACATAGGACAGTTCCATTATTTTTGTCTTCTATAAGTTAGACCACCAAGAAAATACAAAGCTTTTCCAAGCATAGGGATACATTAACAATAATGCTTCAATGTTCTGCAATTAGTGATTATAGTAAGTCTAAAATAAACAAAAGTGTTAAAAATAATTGTAGGGCTGAGGTTGTGGCTCAGTGGTAGAGCACTTGCCTAGCATGTGTGAGGCACTAGATTCAATTCTCAGCACCACATATAAATAAGGGAATATAAAAGACCAAGGCCAGGAACAGTGGCGCACACCTGTAATCCCAGCAGCTCAGGAAGCTAAGGAATTCAAAGGCAGACTCAGCAATTTAGCAAGGCCCTAAGCAACTAAGTGAGACCCTGTCTCTAAATAAAATACAAAAAGGGCTAGGGATGTGACTCAGTGGTTGAGTGCCCTGAGTCTAATACCTAGTACCTAATAATAATAATAATTGTAGTGGGGCTGGGAATGTGGCTTAGTGGTAGAGTGCTTGCACGGCACGTGTAAAGGCCTATTATCCTCAGCAATACACACACTCATTTACCTACCCAAGCACACACACTTAAAAGGAAAAATAATTGTAGTTATTAATGCAAACCATCCTCTCTCTCCATTACACAAAAAGACAGAAAACATATCTTGAAAAAATGACCAGAAAGTGTCAACGTGTCAAACTAGTTAGTTGGCAACCAACTCTGAATGGGTATTAGGACAGACAAGAAACTGTCAAAATTGACCTTGTTTTGAACCTACTGTATGGCCATTCAAAGTGATCACTACATAGCAGAGTTCAAAGAAGCAGAGTATCTCATTTAAAAGTCTTTGAAGACAAAAAAAAAAGTCTTTAAAGACAGAGAAATTCTGGAAACTCATCAAGGTGCAAATTATGATAGAAATCAGAACAGATGAAGTCTTTATGATTAAGGAAAAAAAAATACATTCCAGAATTAAACCTTAAAAAGAGGAAAAGAAACACTAATGCAGAAAAAAGTACATTCTGAAGGAACAATTTAGAAGATTGAGAACCAAAACTTGAAAAATGAAAATGAGAATCTAGAAAGAAAATGAGACCAATTAATAACAGGTACTTTGAGATTAGTAGAGAGTAAGAATACAGTAAGAGGCTCTTAATCAGAATGTTTTAAAACTTTCTGTGAGCTTACAAATTTCCATTATCTAGAAGGGTGAAATAATAGCAGAACCACAGTAGTACTTTTTTGCACAGCAGTTTGGCCTACTTCTCTCAAAACTACCTTGATTTACAAATCTAACATATTTAGATCACATGCATTTTATAATGCTTTCAATCTCATATATATTAGGAATTCCATTAAGACCAGCAAAATACTGAATCCTGCCAATATTAAACAAATCTAGCTAACAGGCATACTCAGAGAACATAAAAAAGTAGCTTGTAGGGTAGAAGGAAAAGCAATAACTGCAACATGCTTTAACAAGTTTTAACAACAGGTTTGAACATTATCTAGGATCACGCTACCTTCACTTTTCTTATGAACTCTCCTACATCTCACATAAAGGCGTAGAAGGAAGAAGCTGAATATCTACTCTTAGGCTGAAATGATGGCCAATTTGCTTCTCATTCATCCTACTCTCAGTTCTAGGCAGTGTCTTGCCACAAAAATGTCAGTGACACCTAACGCAGCAGAGATCAACCTCTAGGGCATAAAGGCTAAAAATATTATGGTGAAAATATAACATGAGATTTACAAGTCATCCATGACCTACACCTTATAAAAGAGCTTAGACTAAAGGATTTTAATCACAGAACAATTTTTCCCATCTACATTTACAATGAGCTCAGTAAGCATTCTATAATTATTTCATCAATGTTCACTTTCTTTTTCTCCATTACATTATAAACTCTGAAATTAATGATCATGTCTTTTAGTTTTTGTATTCCCATGGTATCTATAGTTTTTAGGCACAGAGTAAATACTCAACATATACACATTAATTTACTTTAAAGTAAATAACTAATACCACTGAAACAAGTATGGATTCCAGAACAGAGATTTTCTAGTAAAGAAAAAACATAATAAAAATAAAAAACTCCATTACTGCTATAGCTTCAAGAATACCACTGTGGTAAAGGCAACAAAAAAGAGAAGCTGGGCTTTTCTAGATCTTTCTTTACCTTGGCTTCACAGACTATCCTAACTATAGTTAAATTTGCTGTGTGTTAAATTCAAGGATCTATGTTTTTTTATACAGGAATTTGGAAGGTAGGACCAAAATCTCAGTGCAATTACAAATACTTCCCATAAAAATAATTAAATGGGAATTTCCTATGATAAATAATTTCTCATAGGACTCATTAAAAACTTAAGGTAAATAAACCAAACTTTCATAGAAAAATTGTATTTACAACTCCAAAAGCAGTTTTTAAAAGCAAACACGATATAACACTGAATTTGAAAAATTTATGCTAAACCAAAGTTGCCAGGTTTAATAAACTATTAACAGAATACTGCATCAAAAATAAGGCAATAATCCAAGATATGCCATTAAAGATTTCTTCACCCTCACAACTAGACAGAACTAATCTATCTAGTAGCAAATTCAGTTTTTCAGCAAGTTTGAAATCCTTAAGGACAGAAGTGATAAAAATGTGATCTTCATTCTTCATTAGACTCTTAGAATACTTGAAGGAAAATAATTTCTAAAGCACAAAGAGGTAAAGAGGTATAATCTTTCAAAATGATATTCAGTGTTCAAAATTCAAGAATGCAACACCAATACACAATGGGCATTAGGTGAGTATATGCAATACAATGATAGCAAATTAATTTATTTAGTACTTTTTCCATTCCATATCATCAGGAGGATTGATTTCAACTTTCCTTTTACCTACATCAGACCAGTTGGTACTCAAAACTGTACCACCAGACTCCATCTGGAATAAAAAATAAAAATAGGTTAATTCCTGGGCCATATAATCATAATAGAATTACTTTCCTAAAACCATTCTAACTATAGTCTCAAATATAGGCTATTATATAGCTCAACATAAACTCAAGTATTTTTATTTAAACTGAGGCATTTCAGAGTAATTATCAAATTCCATGAAAATGTGAAAAGGAAACTAGAATAATTAGGTAGAAGTACTGTGTACACATATATTACCACATCAAGCACCATGTTCCCCTCTGCTAATCAATAAAGGTATATGTGGAAAAACCACCTTCAAATGAAAAGTGATGCTGTAATTTTTTTTTAACTGAAGAATTTTTTTACTGAAGACAGTGAAGACCAAGCAAAATTAACTCTTTCTATACTAGTTAAGCAGAACTTTAAGGATCTCTAATTAATACTTCCCAGTGTCAAACACAAATTTCCTCTGAAAAAAAAATTTTTAACCACGGTTAATATTTTAACAACCAACAGTGTCTCAGTGAACAATTGGTTATCTACTAAATTAGCTACTGAATATATCATCTAACAATGACCCTAGCATATTCATACGATCATGTGCTATATAATGATGTTTTGTCAACAATGAACTACATACATAGGACAGTGTTACCATAAGATTATTATGGAGCTGAAAAATTCCTATTGCCTAATAACATCATAGCAGTTGTAACAGCATAGACACATTACTGGAATAAACAAATCCATTGTGCTACCACTGATACAAAAACAACATACCATATTATACTAGCAGGAGCTTCTTACATCTCCTGATTCCATCTCTTGATTCTATCAAGAGGCCACATTAGGCTGCAGATGTAGGTCAATGGTATAACATGAGGGGGGAAAAAAAACCTACCCATCAAGTGACTGACCTAACACTATCTAGGTTTATATAAATACACTCAATGATATTTGCACTAATGATAAAAATCACCTAAACATGTACTTCTCAGAACAAAGGGAGATGAATGAATGTATATAAAAATAGTAAAACTTCATGATGTTTGTTGTTTTGGTGTAATAAAAATGCAATTTTTTATTTATTCTAATTAGACTGGGAGATCACACAGGACAGAGTATTTTGGGGTTAGTTTGTTTTCCCACAAGACAGAAGCAAGTCTTTGGTTTAAGGTCAATGTTGCCACAGAAATTGCTTGTTTTATAAGTATATACAGTTTACTTAAAATTATCAAAGTTTCAGTATAAAAATATATTCAGATTATCTATTACATCTTTGATTTGACACAGTGCTATTTTGTCTAGAATGCATTTAAAAGCTAATAGTGAGAAAGACTTCCTTTCTGGGAAGACTGAAGTATTTCTCCTTGAAAAAGTCAAATGAAAAATACATCAAGAAAAATAATTTACATAGTTCCACAGTGATAAACTGTCACTAAATCTCAATCTGATTCGGATGGTATTCATGATGCCCTAACAAAAGCCTGAATTTTCCTAATCAACAGAAAAATTATTAAAGCAATGAATAACTAAAGTGTACTTTTCCACTAACTAAACACAATTTGGAAATTTCCCCTCTATATTCTTCATCTCTTAACACTGAGACAAGAGATTCTAGGAGGTAAATAATGGAAGCTAACTCAGCTACTATGACAGATTCAACTAAGATAATTCCCTAACTCACTAATTAAAAAAAAATTATATATATAATATATAATATACATAATATATATATATAATATATATTTAGAATAATCACTTGTTCTCATCTCTTCTACAAGTTTTCAACTTCCTCAACAACTACTCTATGTTTAGAGCAAGAAGAAACATTTGGACAAAGCCCATTCAAAAAGGTCTCCAGGCACAGTGTAAGTAATTTGGTATCAAATTATCTACTGAAAATGTCTAAAATTCACTCCCCCACAATATTTGGGAGAAAAAAAAAAAGCGATGTTCTTACAAATGATTTATTCATGGCACGTTTCACTTCATCAGAACCATCTGAATAGATCTGCTGAAATAGTTTGTTTAAAGCTGCATCTCCCTCCAACTTCTCATTCTTTTCTTCTTCTTTGATCTCACCAACCAATTTATCCCAATTTCTTGTATAATGAGATGAAGATGGATATAGGTTCTTTACATCTGTGAAGTGAAAATGGAGGAAGAAATTAATTGATGTGTTTTGATTTTACCAAGAATATGTAACACTTTGACCACGATAAACAGAATATGTGAGCAATTTAGGTAACCAAATTTCATTTTTGCAATGTGTTTTTTAAATAAAAACATTATTTTAAAAAGATGTTTAATATACTTCTCTTATAAATAAGATTTTAATGTTAAAAATGTGGCTTTTGCTGGGTGTGATGATGCATGCCTATAATCTCACCAACTTGGGAGATGAGAAAGACACAAGCTTGAGACCAGCCTCAGCAACTTAAGAAGACCCTAGTTAAAAATTTTTTAAAAAGAACTGGGGATATATAGCTCAGTGGCAGATGGCTCAGGGTTAAATACCCTTCTTTCTCTCTGTCTCTCTCTCTCTCTCTCTCACACACACACACACCAAAAAAGGGAGGGCATTTTAGGAACAAGGTGTAATGGCAAATGCCTATAACTGAAGCTATTCAGAAGGCTAAGTGGGAAGGATCATTTACGCCCAAAAGTTTGAGTTCACCATGGGCAACAAAATATAAAATAAAAATGTGGTTTTTCTAGGGAACTCACTTATCTTTCAGAGTAAACTGAAAGTATGATCACAGAAGCTACAAGAGTGAGTTAAGACTCCTTCTCTCCCCACATTAAAAATAAGATTGCTTCAACAATAAAGAATTTTTAAGTTGAAATATATTACTTATTTACAAATACAATACTTGACAATAAATATAATATCTGCACAGTATAGAAAATAACAGTATTTATAGAGCACACTGGGGTAAAACAGGCTGCTTACAGATAGAAAAGGTTGGTGGCCAGAAGATCAAAAGAATGAAGATTTGGGCACACAAATAATTAAAAAATAACAAACTGACCTAGTAGGTATAAGAGCAGCTCTGTTCACTATCCAATGAAGACATAAATGATGACCACAAATGTAACCACATATATAATTTTAAAATTCTAGGAGTATGTTACTAAAAACAATCATGGTAAAATATACTTTAATAATGTACTTTGTTTAATCTAACATATAAATAGCATTTCAACATGAAATAAAAAAATATAATGTTTTATATTTTTTCCATGTCATAAAAATCTGGTACATACTTTACAATTTAGTACATCTCAACACAGACTAGTCATATTTCATGTGCTCATCATGTGCATGTGGCTAGCAGTTACTGTACCGGACTATACAACTATGAGGCTTTGAAAAATCCTGGTTTGAAATTTATTTCTATATATTAATACAGAAACTACTAAACATTCATCCTATTTTTCATCCTTTCTTTATACCTATAAACCAATTTTCTCCCTGCCCACCCTCCATCAAAACAAAACCCAAGGTCAGAGCAATGAAAAAGGTAAAACGGCTTCTGTCATTTTCTCTACATGCCAAGCTCTTTCCTTAAGACCTTTATGCATTTTCAATATCTACTTGAAATTCTTTTCCCCTCTCTTTGTATTGTTTGGAATTTACCACCACTCATTTACATAAAATAGCTTTAATTTTTTTCCCATGTCTGTTGTGTGCTGGTACTATTACCATGCTTTAATTTACTAACTTTCTTTTAATCAATCACTTTTTTTCTTCTACAAAAATTAATATATTATAAAAGCAAATCTAATGTTACTGCAATAAATGAAAAATAAAACTGATTATTTCAATAATTAGAAGTTATTAAAAAAATAAACCCCTGAAATAAAACCAAACCCAAGACCCTATATGATTTTATTCATGGCAGGTATATTGTTTTAAAAACCCTATCCATCTTCCATCTACTAGAAATCCCTCCTTCTTTGTACATTTTCAATAGTAAACGAAGAAAACAAACAAACAAAAAAATGCAGGCCATGGTAAGTTAAGAGCCTAGGAAACATGGATTTAATTAATTCTAATACTCATTCCCAGGAAAGATGGAAATAGAGGTTTAATCTCCACTTTACAGATAAGAAAGCTGGCCCAGATAGGTTAAGTGACTTGCCCTTATCTACAGTCTCCACCTTGCAGTACACAGAAATCTGACAAGCATATTAATTCCTTACAAAAATGTAACAGGACAAGAAGAATAGCATCTTGAATATCTAAGGTATTGAATTTAGAAAAAAACTAACTGTAACACTAAAAAAACCTTGATTTTTAATCTCATAAAATTTTTTAACACATGGAGATGGTTGATGAACTACAGAGCTAAGTAACCTAACTTCTTTACTCAGTCAAATAACTACAAAGATACTCATGCCAGCAGAGATCATTTCCATGTTGAAAATATAGCAACAAAAAGTATCTCACATGGGGCTAACAGAACAAGACCTATACTCTGAAGACCTGGCTTTTAGTCTTAGACAATGAAACCTGCTGAGCAATCTTGAGCAAGCTGATTAATCTTTCTGAACCTGTACAACAGAAGGAATAATGCTGGGCTGCCTATTATACATGGCTGTTATGTGAGATACTACTCTTAGAAAAGTTTTGCACTACATAAAATCGTAAGTTCAAAAATCTGTTAGTCACAAAAGAAGCATGTAACATTTTTATTGTCTTACAATTATCAAACAAAAATACTTTAAGTTCCCTAAAAATTACCTGTTGGTATGTTTTTCCTGGTTTTGCTAATTATATCTCAAATTAATTAAGATTTTATCATTGGAGCAAGTGGGGTTAAGAATCTATGGGAATTCTTTTTTTTTTTTTTTTTTTAAAGAGAGAGTGAGAGAGGGGAGAGGGGAGGGAGAGAGAGAGAGAGAGAATTTTTTAATATTTATTTCTTAGTTCTCAGCGGACACAACATTTTTGTTGGTATGTGGTGCTGAGGATCGAACCCGGGCCGCACGCATGCCAGACGAGCGCACTACCGCCTGAGCCACATTCCCAGCCCCTATGGGAACTCTTATTTTGCAAATTCTGTATGCATCTAAAATTACTTCTTAATTAATACATGCACACATAAATGATCCACTGAACAACCCATTTCTTAAAAGTGGCCACAGGAAATGTTTTCTGCTACAGAAGAAAGTGGGCAAAATCTGAAAGTTGCTGAGACACAATATTAACTTGATTCAGTCATCAAATCAGAGCATTAACTAATATATCAAAAAGAAATTTCTCTCCATTTACTAATGAGGTTATTACAGTAAAATACAATCTTAGGTTATAGTTCTAAGTGTGTCCTACAGATTAATTATTTCATTAGAAAAATGCTTATCTACTTATTGCACGTGGTTAGAATTGACCTCAATGAAATGCTGTACATCCCGTAAAGAGCTACCTAATCGACCCTACTTTCCTCTCTTCTCCTAGGCTTTTCTTTAGTACTTATTACCTATTTTTTTCCTTCTCTAAATTAATATAGTGAAATGGGCTAGAAACCTTATTCAACGAAGCCCTGAAATTTAAGGCAATTAGAGTTGACAATATTGGTAGAAGGAACATAAGCAGTAATAAGAAAGGGCAACAAACAAACAAAAACAAACTCCAAATAATGTCATAAACTGACATGGTGAGCAATCCCAACTTCTCTGGGATTTTGCTGCTATTCATTTGTATTCTTAGAGTTTAGGAAGTTAGAATAGTCACAAGGCTACTTTGTATTCATTACACAGCAACCTTATTATACTCAATATATCTTATCTTGGAAATATAAATAATGGAAGCAGAAAAAATGTTCATTACTATTTAATTTCAACCACACAACATAATACAAATTTAAAGCTTATCAAGGCCAGAAAACAAACCTGCTATGAACTGTTTTGAAGTAGGGACATCTCCTTGCCCCTCTAGCTTTTCCCATCTCACAGCCTCTGGCTTTTTCATTTTAATTTCAATCTAGAGGAAACATCAAATAAAATCCATTATCAAATGTAAAATAAATAAAACAGTAAAAATGCAATTTTCTTAAGTCATTGAAGTTTTATAAATGATAGTTTCCTTAGTAGAATGAAAGACATTTTTACTGTATGTTTATTATGTGACTACATGACCAACATGATTCTGCAATATGTACATTCAGAAAAATGAGAAATTATATCCCAACTATGTCTATCAAAGTGCAAAAATGCATTCTATTGTCATGTATAACTAATTAAAAGAAAAAATTAAAAGAAAAAGGTTAAATTTGAAGAATTATAAAATATTTATTTTTAGGGGCTGGGATTGTGGCTCAGCGGTAGAGCATTCCCCTCGGGCGAGACCCAGGTTCGATCCTCAGCACCACATAAAAATAAAGGCTTTGTGTTGTGTCCATCTACACCTAAAAAATAAACACTAAAAAAATTTTTATTTTGTTTCTGCTATTAAAATTCATCCTTCCAAAAAAAACGACATAAACACTACAATTTGAGTTTCAAGACTTAAATGCTTTACTTTTCTTCTTAAGCAGTGTTTTCAACTGTTTTCAACTAGGGATGATCCTCTCACCCAGGGGACATCTAGCAATGTCTATGGACATTGCTGGTTGTCACACCTAGGGTAAGGGAAAGGTTGGTGCAGACATCAAGTAAGTAGAGACCAGGGGATGGTACTAAACATCCTATAATGTACAGGGAAACCTCCTACAACAGAAATATCCAGCCCCAAATGACAATAATGCCAGCATTGAGTAACCCAATTTCTATAGGAATTTGTTGTTTTCACATGTGCACTAATCTGCTTTAGAGTAATTTATTCTACTGTGTAAAAATAATACAGCATATTCTAATATATTATTTTTACAACCATTCATTCAACAAATAACTACAGGTTGAAAACCCCTTTGCTGAAATGCTTGAGACCAGAAGTACATTAGAATTTGGATTTTAGAGTATTTGCATGTACATAGTAAGATATCTTGGGGATGGGACCAAAGTTTAAAAATGAGATTCCTTTATGTTTTATGTATTCCTTAATCACATAGTCTGAAACTAATTTTATACAATATTTTAGTACACCTCCATTTTGACTGTAACCTGCAACATAAGACCAGGAGTAAATTTTCCACTTGTGACCTCATGTCAGCACTCAAAAAGTGTCTGATTTTGAACTTTAAATTTTCATATTAGGAATGTTCAACTTGTGCTAAACACCCACAATGAATAGGTATGCTCTTTAAGGTTGTGGGGAATTTAAAAAATATTAATGACATATCTTTGACCATTTGGAAATATATGAGATACTTAAAGTCACAAAATATACAAATACATGTCAAAAGCTCAGGAAATCACACCAGCTGCATAAGGTGAAGGTTTCATGCAGTTTAAAGGGTGCTGAGGGGTAGATAATGTTTGCAAGGATAGAAGGGTTAACCCAGTCTCCAGAGGCAAAGAGAATGGCCTAAAACTGGAGCTCTGGGGACACGAAAGGCCAGAGTACATCAGGGAGTATGAAAAAAACGAATCTGCCAAGTCCAGAATTTATATAAGAGCAGTGAAGACTAGATGGAAAAAGAGCAGAATACATAGAGACTTCAAATGTTAAACTAAGTTTACTTACAAAAAAAGAAAACAAGTATCCTAATAACAACTTTTATTCTCATAAAGGCTTGTCCCCAGCATCTACCCTTACTCCTCATATATTCACTCACCTCTACCTTTTTTTTCCTATTCAAATAGTGTTCCCATCTCCATTTTTAGATTGGTAAAAATCAGTATTTTCAGTGTAAACATTATAGTAAACTGCATCAAATAATATTATGCAGATTAAATTAAGAATCAAATTAAATTTTACATTGTAATACTTTTATGAAAAGGATTATTACTTCTGTAAATGGGGGAGACAGATATAACAAAGAGCAGCCTATTCACCTCTTTGTTCTCTGACTTCTTTTTAATCAGATAACTCATTTAAATGTTTCTTCTACCTGCATCTTGCTTCTTTCACTTTCAAATAGAATCAAGAACCCAGATGGCAGTGTGTACATCATCGTACAAAAGTTCATTCCCACTTCATATCCGTTCATTCCCACTTCATATCCTTATGCTACATGCATTTTTACATAAAAGTTCATTTTTTCACTTTAAGAGCAGCACATACTTGCAGTCACATTTACTGAAAGCCACCGTAACCTGAGGAATTGTGCAGTATGAACAAAAAGGCCTTTAAATAAAGATAGTTAAAGCTCTCAGCAACAATCTGTTTCAAGTGAGACAAACTGACCTAGCCTGAAATTATACTTATTCCATTCATTAAAACAGCAGTACCGAATAAACCATGTAAAACAGCGTTTTAAAAGTGAAAACAGGGATGGGAGGGGGTTAATTTTCTGTGAATTCTTTTTCATACCTACTTCGCTTTCAATGCTTATACATGCTCTTAAAAATGAAGTTTGAAGTCCTGACATTTCTGGCAGATACTTCTAATATTATAATCCAATTTCAGAGACTTTTTATTGTAAACACTAATAAACCATTCTATTTTCATTTAAGTAAAAAAAATACTTTAAAAGCTAACTTAAATCATTTTTAATATATATATTTTTTTGGTTATCAGTGCACCTTTATTTATTTATATGTGGCACTGAGAATTGAACCCAGTGCCTCACACATGCCAGGCAAGTGTTCCACCACTAAGCCACAACCCCAGCCTCCTAACTTAAATCTATGATTTGTTTGAATGTTGCTCTTATATGCACAGGCAAGGTTTTCAAGGTTCCATAATATCCCAAAGCAGTATCCACAAGTTATTAATAAGAATCCCTACTGTGCTTGATCATTATCTACTATGCACCTCTGAGGTTTCCTCTGAGAATTTCTTTTTTTTCTCAATGAAAGGAACTTCAGATTAAAAAAGAAGCCATTTGGGCTGGGATTGTGGCTCAGTGGTGGACTGCTTGCCTAGCACGTCCTGGGTTCGATTCTCAGCACTACATAAAAATAAAGGCATTGTGTTGTGTCCATTTACAAAACAAACAAACAAAAAGAAAAGATTCTCTCTCTTAAAAAAAAAAAAAAAGAAGAAGCCATTACTACTCCTAAGTAATCATAGCATAAAGACACTGGCTTCTTAAGAAGCACTTAGTGCTACAGACTAGCAGTGAAGGAATTCTCTCCAGAGTCTAAAGAACCAAAGCAGTTTGCTGGCAAACTTTTGAGATTAACCTGCCTCAAGGTTACAGTTATTAAATAACTGTGCCTCTATCTTTAGAATGTAGCCTTTCCAAAATTTTCCTACTCTTTGCAAATTTAATTGGTACCACAAAACCCTTTGTCCAATACTGGAGCAGTAGCTCAGTCTTTGCAGGCCTGACTGATACATCTTGTTTATTCTTAAACTCAAATCTGTGTCCCCCAGCCATCTCCATGGTACTAGAGATTCCATTCAAGGACTTGTGCTTTGCACTCTACCACTAAGCTAAATCCCTAGCCTTTTGTGGCCCGTGGCCCGTGGCCCCCGCCCCCCCCCCAGAGTTTTTTAATGGGTGCATTGTTAGTGCATGTAGTTTTGGGATTCATAACATATTCATATATGCACACAATATAATAATTGGCCAATATCATTCCCTAGTATCATCCCCAGCTTTTTAAAAAATATTATTTTGAGGAAGGGTCTCACTAAATTGTCTAGGCTAATCTCAGATTTGTGATCCTGCTGCCTCAGTCTCCTGAGATGATGGAATTACAGGCCCGGAATAGTTGGCTTCGCTCAAGTCACTATAACCATTCTTTAAAATACAAAAAATTGTAAGAAAGGCAAATTTTTAACTGCTTAATTTAAGTATTTATTGAGTGCCAGGCACTGTGCTCATAAGGAAACAGCTTTTGTTCTCTCATAAAACAACGAAAAATTCCAGTGTATATAATTGTGAAGAGTGGTGATTTGAATTATGGTCTGACTCTCATGGCTGCATCTGCACTGGAAGCTAGCTGTATGAAGGTACAGGTCAACATGCCCCAGATGCTATAGTAATGCCAGCCAGGGAGGTATGGCTCTATATTAGTCAAGGCCTGATAGAGAATTCTGAACAAAACAAGATGACTCTAACATTTTGCCAGTCCTGTGGCCTTTAAATTGCCTGCTTTACTGAAATTTTCCCACAAATAACCTTTTGACGAAACCTATAAAATAAACTTGCTGAGCTAGTTCTGGAGTCTGTCAAGCCTCACCAAGGGCTTGGTTACCCACCTGGCCCCAGCCTTTTCTCCCTATGTGTGTCTGTCTTTTCTTTATCCCCCATTGCTCCTGAGCACCTGGTATCTCCTTAATTAATGGTCTTAGCTGAGAGATGAGAGGGCTGCGACAATTGGCACCTGAACAAGGATTTGAGAGGCCCAAGCAAACAATGTGTAGTGACAGACCCCATGCTAGGAAATAGAGATATTTAGAAGGTAGTATATTAAAATGATATTAGTGATGAGTCTTCAGTAACTACTCTCTCAGCTGCGTCACACTTTCCCAAATTTCTATACACATTTACTGCTTTTATAGCCTGAATAAAAATCTAAATAATCAGGGAGAAAAAAAAAACAAAAACAGTAGTAATAACATTTATTGAGCACTTATATACTCTGTGTGCTTCACATGTCATGTCATTTAATAAAACCACACTACAAAAGATTATCATCCATATTTTAGAAATGAGGGAATGTAATTATGGAATAATTTGCTTGAAATACCTTTTCTGCTAGACTTTTCACTTATTTCTTCAGAAACAAGCAGGGACCGAGAACAAGGCAAAACCAATTAATTGTGTAATTAGAAAGAATCACAAAGAGGTGCTATTTGTTGGATATATGACTTACAAGCAAGTATATTAATCTCTGTGAGCCTTAGCTTCTCCTTTGAAATGGGAATAACAAGGCTTATACCATATAGGGTTCTTATGAGGATTAAATATCATGTACAAAAAGACTATAGAACTATATCTGGCACATAACAAATGAATGCAATCACAAATATCTTCATCATCATAAACATCTGGAAAAACACTGGGCAAATTATTTAACATCTCTGAGTTTGGTTTCTCTACCTCTAAACTGGTAATAAAAATATATATACTATATAGTCATTGTGAAAATTACATGATATACAGTATAGTGTCTAGCATGTGATAAACAACTATTTTAATTTGGCACAGGCCAAACAATACAGGATAGAGTATAGTACATGTATGCAGTAAAATATTTTGCTGGAAAATATTTAATGGTATTGGGGGGGGGGAAGCCATAATGAATGGTTAAGTTTAACAGACATTAAGAGAACATATACATAGCAAAATATTTCTTTATAAAATATACAAACATGCATTAATGGAAAGAAAGAGTACATTCCAAGATCCACAATTTGTGGACATCAGCAACTAATTCAGTAAAAATAAAACACAACATCTCACTATTATTCCAATATTAATAGCAAAACAAAGCTATAATCCAAACACCCCCACATTTACATACTGACAAACACAAGTAGCCTGCCCAGATATCCCTACTCTTCTACCCTATCTCTGGAATTTTCTATATATTCTCTTGCTTCTATGAGCATTAAGAAAGGAATTCATTCAAAAACTGCTCAAATTTTAGTGGTGAAAAGGAACGAGGAGGTTATTATTTTGTCTCCAGTAAAAGCACACATTTTTATTTACCATGGTTCCATGTTGTATAACACAACTTTTTGTTTTTGTATTATATAATATAAAAAATTACTTAAGACTAAAAATAAAGCTGGGCATGGTGGCTCATGCCTCTAATTCCAGTGACTCTGGAAAGAGTCAGCTAAGGCAACAGGATCACAAGTTTGAGGCCACTCTCAGCATCTTAGCTAGTCCCACAGCAACTGAGCAAGACCCTGTCTCAAACTAACAATGTAGCTTAGTGGTAAAGTGCCCCTGGGTTCACTCCCTAGTAACTGCCCCCCCCCAAAAGAGTATAAGTAGGAATATAAGAATATTTCTATAAAAGTAAATTTACCCCAAAGGATTGAGAAGTCTAATTCTTAAGAACATTTCACAACATAGTTGACACCGAAACCACAATACTGAGACTATGACCAGAGAATAACGTCATGAAATTAACATTATGAAACAAAAGAAACATGATGGTTTCTTAATTTTAGAAAGTGGGTCAACAGGCTGACATGTAAACTGTATTCATAACTGTAAGTGCTATGTAATGGTAGAAATAACCAGCAAAGACACTGAAAAAATATAGTCTGGCTAGAAAAAATGTTCTAGATACTACACTGGAAATACTTAAATACTATTTCATTAGTTTAAGGATCCCACCTCTTCCTGTTTTCATCGCAAATTATTATTTTTCACACAAATAAGTTAACTGGCTACACACAGATACACAACATTCATTCAACGTGGAAGATGGGGAAAAACAGGACTCTCAAAGAAAAGAAATAGTTCCTGTAAAACTAGATTTTTAACAGAATCTTATTTTAAACATATTCTCCTAAGCAAAATGCATCATTTCCTTAATTCACACAAGGTTCAAGATATACAAAATACATGAAAAGTAAATTATTTCTATACTTTTCCATAAGTACCATCACTCAGTAACAATGATTTCATTTTCAATATTTTAAAACACTGTCTCCCTCTGCTGTATGAAAATAGAAAGGACTCAAAAGATCTCATCACTTATTTCTTTCAAAATATCATTAAGAAAAGCTATAAATTTATTTGCTACAAGATATAATATATAGGTTAGCAGCCCAACAGGGTTATATGTTTAAAACATGGAAATTATGAGGAGATCAGAACAAGAAAAACAATCTTTCTTTAAATTCTTCAATCCAGAATTTGAAAAATCTAAGTAAAGCGTGGTTGGCAGTCAGAATTAAATATGCAGCCAGGTACAATGGTGCAAGCTTGTAATTTTCAGCAGCTCAGGAGGCTGAGACAGGAGGATCCTGAGTTCAAAGCCAGCCTCAAGCAATGGTGAGGCACTAAGCAACTCAGTGAGACCTGTCTCTAAATAAAATACAAAACAGGGCTGGGAATGTAGCTTGGAGGTTGAGTGCCTGAGTTCAATCCCCAGTACTCCCCATCCCCGCCAAAAGTACCAAGCACCTGTTATGTACAATGCATGGGATGAGAAAGAGCTGCCAAGTTTAGTAAATAAAAATATATCATGGAACCTGGTTATACAAAAAAAATGATTCATTGTTCATCTGAAATACAAACTTCATCTGTATTTCAAACACTTTATCTGAATTAAAGTCCTTAAGTTATTTATCACCTATTCACACAAATTAATTTACATTTATAATACTTCAAATGCATATACATTAAGAATCTCTTGGTAGAAATATATAAAAAATACCAAAATCATAATTTTCTGACCTATCTTCCTCTCAAATCTACCTAGTGTTTTGTGCTTGATTACTCAGAATTATTTTATTTTATTTTTTTTTAAGAGGGAAAAAAGAGAGAATTTAAATTTTTTTTTTTTTTTCAGTTTTTGGCGGACACAACATCTTTGTTTGTATGTGGTGCTGAGGATCGAACCCGGGCCACACGCATGCCAGGCGAGCGCGTTACCGCTTGAGCCACATCCCCAGCCCCACTCAGAATTATTTTATTGAACAAATTCTACACTATGTGAATAGAATAAGTGATAGACTAAAATCCTGGTGAGATTTCATCCCTTTTCTAACTTTCTATTATCTCTAGCACTTGTTCCACACCTGCCACATAATTAATCAGCTTTACTTTCGGCAATCTTCAAATAAAACTTCAAGGGGCTGGGGTTGTGGCTCAGTGGCAGATCATTTGCCTCGCATATGTGAGGCACTGGGTTTGATCCTCAACACCACATAAAAATGAATAAACAAAATAAAGATATTGCATCCATCTATAACTAAAAATATTTTTTTAAAAAATAAAACTTCAAAAGGGCAAACCATATTAATCTAGAGACAAAATACTACTTCATATTTTTTTGCTCCAAACCTGTGTAGTTTCCTTTCTGTATGCCTGGTTACCACTCTTCAGGACAGGTGGACCTGATCCTATTCCATGATAGGAAACTTCACATGTCCTTATAACTTAAACTTAAGAGTCTGAGTTAATAATATAACTTTCTGCAAGACCCATGTATAAAAAACCATATACTAATGGAAAAAGTTTATATCATTCATTCTTATTAACTCACTTATCATATACTTTCATACAATTTCATGTAATTTTACTGGTAAAGGGATTATAGAGCCCATACTCCTCATTATATAGATGCTGAATACTTAATCCGAAGTCATTGTGACTAGACTAAATTCACAGGGCAAGCTAAGAGACAGATTTTTTAAATCTTCAATTCAGTATTTCTCCTACTAAATTCACTACTACCTACATCTTTTGAATGATGCTTAAATCTTACAAATATTAATTCTACTTTTTTATAATACAAAGGAATTAAAACATTATATACTCAAACTGTTATTCATTACTCCTTCATAGTAAAGTAACCTGAAATTCAGCATAAATAAAAATAAAACAAAAAAGTAGATTTATCTTTATAACTGTTTCTATTTTTAATTACATAAGGCAGGGTAAGAAAAGTATTTATACATTAAAACAGACCAAACTGACAAGTTCTTCAGAAGAGACAATATCAGTATCAAATCATATAAGCTATTTTTATTATATCCACTTTGAAAATCTTCATTGAAAAATCCTATAGCTATCTTTATAAGTACACACACACCACACAAGCTATTAGTTTTATATTCCACTATTCAAATTTTGGGGATAAGAAAACAGTGATACTAAACAATCATTGTTTTTAATTTCCCGAGCAACTCCTCCCTCCCTTTTTGGAGATAGGGTCTTGCTAAATTGCTGAGGCTAGCCTGAACTGGTGATCCTTCTGCCTCAGCTTCCTGAGTCTCTGGATTACAGGAGTGTCACCATGTCTGGCAACTGTCTCTTTTAATTTAAATAGGATTTACAAGTTTATTATCACATAGGTGATTTATTCACCAGTAGGTTTATATTTTGAAAACATAACAGGTGAAAAACCTTTCCAATGGCCTCACCTTTGTTGTAAGTACTTTAAACGTACTCTGTTCTGGTATTATAGGATGAAGCAATCTCAGTTTCAAATTGTAATCTTCTCCAGAAGGAAGTTTCACCAAAGCAGACAACTATTGAACACAAATTAGCAACACATTTTGTAAATTTACATAATAAAGGCTACAAAGATTTTAAATGAATACAGAACTCTGACAATGTTGCAGATTAAACATTTTGTGTAATGTGTCAGATTTAAGAATTTCAAAATAATCTTTCAGTAGTATTCTTCATGTAAATTCTCAAATATTTAAAGAACAGAAAACAACATTTGAAGTATTTATCATATTTAATCACACATAATATTTAAATCTCAAGAAAACACAACACATAAATGCAAATGATATAGTAACAAAAAGAAATTATTCTTGCACAAAATATTTAATTCTATACACCTTTCTTAATATCTATCATAAGGTTCTCTACTTAATGCTTAGAAACCAAGTTCTAAAGTCATACTCATTAAATATAATTAGTAAATTCCAACCACACAGCTAATAGTTAGATCTTTTTCATAAAGTTCACCATGTAAGTATAACCAAATCACATATCTTATTAATTGTTAACCAAGTTCTGCTTTATACTCTTTTTATAACGTAAGTTTTTTTAATAACATTTATTTCATTTTTATGTGGTGCTGAGGATCGAACCCAGTACATTGCATGTGCTAGGCGAGCGCTCTACTGCTAAGCCACAATCTCAGCTCCTGCTTTATACCCTTAATCTAAAGAAAAAAATATTTAGCTCTTAACTCAAATTTTTTAACTCAAACTAAAAAACAATGCTTCAGATTTTATTCAGTATCTTCCATGTTATCTCAAGAAGAAATGGCATATAGCTGATAAACTGCTGTAGATTATTCTGCAATATACTAAGTTGGCAAATAATAGTATGCAATCGCCATATAAAGATTACCTCTTTTTCTGAAAATTCCACATTTACGTCATTCTTCTGAACATTCTTGATCATAAGTGTAATGATTACTTGAGATTCTGTTTGATACCAATCATACCTATTAAAAAGGAAAGAAACTTTAAAAAATTGTTTATCAAAAAAAAAAGTCTGATAAAAAACTCCACCCTAAGGAACAAAACAGCAAAACAGCTATTAATTCACAGAAGCAATTATATGTAACTAATCTTCTATTATCTGTACTAATTAAGAGAAAACAGTAAGGCAGGTGATGCTCACATTTTTCCAGTGGACTTAAAATATAATATATTAGAAATTAAAATATAACTATATTAGAAAATATATTTTCTAATATAGTTGCACTTAAGCTAATATTAAAGATAAAAACTAGGGCTGAGGTTGTGGCTCAGTGGTAGAACACTTGCCTAGCACATGTGAGGCACTGGGTTCGATCCTCAGCACCACATAAAAATAAACAAACAAAGATACTGTGCACATCTACAACTAAAAAAATTATATATTAAAAAAAAAAAGATAAAAATAAGCCAGGTACCCGGCGCACCCCTGTAATCCCCACAGCTCAGGAGGCTGAGACAGAAGGATAGTGAGTTCAAAGCCAGCCTCAGCAATGGCAAGGTATTGTCTCTAAATAAAATACAAAATAGGGCTAGGGATGTGATTCAGTGGTTGAGTTCCCCTGAATTCAGGTACCAAAACAAAAAAAGATAAAAATCATTCTAAACAGCTACTAATTATACATTATCAACAGTTTTATACTCTCATTTCCACCGAATGCTAAGGTGAATTAAACACTTCTATTCCTATTTTACAGATGAGTACACCGAAAGCTCAGTGGCAGCAGTGCTGAGGTGGATCTGGTCAACCTGAGTCAATACTACAAACTCTTCACTGAAGCTGGGAGTAAACAGACCTCAGCACAGGAACAGAGGCAAATGAGCTCAAGCTACAGTTATTTAAACTTTACCCATTTGCCAGGTACAACATTATATAACAATTCCTTCCCCCCCCTTCAAATCTTACGGTATTCAGGAAGAAGACCAATGTGTCCAGGGATTATCATTATGTGTACTTTTCATACTGAAAGCTCTAAAAATGTAGTAATCCTCACTTTCAAATGAGACTATAATCTCCCTGAAGGGAGAGCTATTTACCCTGTTACTATTATATTCTCAGATCAAGCACACGCCTACTTACTATACAATATACTTATTAAATCAAATGCTGAATTATTTTATGCTCCAAATTCTATAATTGTCATTTGATGTTTATGTGTTCTTATCCTCACTATGGTCACCAGGCAAGTCAAAGTTCCCTGTTTACAAAGTACTTGGAGTCACTTCATTTCCCCCAAAAGAACATGAATAAATTGTTTTGTTGTAACATTTTTAAGTCATTTTAGGTAATTATGTCAAAAAGCACCTAGATTAAAGAAAAAAACTTTGAGAGTGTCATAGTCTGTCTCTGAAATTCAGTGGGGATGCAAAACTCCAGATCAATGCCTTGTGATTCTGTTACAGTCCTAAGACTGCAAGTTGTACACATGGCTCATGAATAACGAAAAACAAAATCAAAGACTTAGTAGTGTTTATTCATTATTATAATTGCTATCTTCAGCAATATTAACTTTTAGCTCATGTAGAAGGTTCCTATGAAAATTTTATTTCAAATATAAGATAGAGGTCAATTACAAGTCCGTTAACCCTAATATGAGCTTATTATGTCATAAAACAAATTTAACTAAAAGATGTTCTCCTTTATGGGTGGAAAGGTGACATACTATGGCAACAGAGAAATGATTTAAATTTACTTAAGTAGAACATTAATACTAACCAGTAAACAGTCTTAAAAAATTAAGTTTTTTATAAGGCTATAACACTATTTTAAAAAGAAAAATTAAGAAACTTAAAACCACACTGTAAGGACTCACTTATTAAAATATGGGCTCCCCTCCCCCTTTAAGCATATTTATCATGCATTGTTTTATGAAAAGAAACACTTACTTGATTTTTGACTGAGTCCGCTGGGATGCAGACTAGTTTTGTCAAGTTGAAAGAAAAAGATTTTTAAGTTAATTTAGCAATTGAATATTAAAATACACATACTATTAAATTACTCAGTGCTCTAGTTTTTTTTAATATGGAATAACTACATGAAAATTTTCTTGAAAGATAAAACATAGTATATGCATTATTAAATGATACTAGTCTTCACAAAAAAAAAAAAACAACATGTTGGCATTTTTATAATTTCATTAATTTAAATTTTTAAAAATATTTTTCTTAAAACATTTTAATAACAGAAAACTTTTCTAAAGGTATGAATGAAAAGGTTATTTATCCAAAATGTCCAGTACTAAGATGAAATAACTCCTAGCAACATTTTTAAAACCATTTTAAAGAAACAGTATAACATTCCAGTTTAAACAATGTAAAGACTGCTCTGAAAACCTATAAAGGAACCATTTCCATGGAGATTTCCAAATAACCTCAAACTCCATTTTGTGACCTTTCTCCAACAGACATATCATCAAGAAACAAAGTGACTCTTGTCCAACACCTACTTTCCTAAACTATGCCTGCACCTATTGAAACTAAATCTAAAGACTTGTCCTGCGTCTTAGGTAGCCTCTAAACTGACCCAAAACAAAAAAGGGAAGAGAGGAGGTTTGGGATCAAGGAAATAAATAAAAACTACTTTTAGAGGTCTAAATCTAATTCAGAATTACTTTTCAGTATAAAGGACTGAGAAACAATGTGCATCTAGATCATATTAAGTAGAGAAACTAACCAAAATAGATTATTCCAGTTCACCCGCATACCAGGAAAAAAACCAGACTGAACCATGGCAGTAATAAAATGTGCTAAGACTACATAACTTAACTCTGGACTAAATGTTTTTCTTCTTCTTCTGTTTTGTTTTTTTTCTTTTAATATTATTTTTTTAGTTGAAGTTGGACACTATACCTTTTATCTATTTATTTATTTTTATGTGGTGCTAAGGATTGAACCCAGGGCCTCCCACGTGCTAGGTGAGCACTCTACCACTGAGCCATAATCACAGCCCCCCACCTTTTTTTTTTTATTATTCAAATGCCATTCTGCTGTTTGTAGCCCTAGCGTCAATCTTAAATTATAAAACCTGAATTAAATTACTAGCAATAAAATAGAAAGTCAACTTTTAAAGACCTCTTCCAATTCATTCCCTACCTATCACTCCTAGGAATATGGGCAAGCATGGATGTATAGGGATAGATAGCACTCACATTTGCAGATATTCAAAGCCCTTGTTACTATGCATACACATATTTTGCCTAAAGCTCACAATAACCTGTGTGATGTAGAATAGTTCTTTCAGCTCCAGTTTACACATGAAGAAATCTCAGGGAACAAATGACTTTCTTAATGTCACAATATAATTTTGAAAGATTGAGATGTAAATAAACCTTTGAGAATGTACAAAGTAACTCAAAATGTTAAGTAATTGCCCATAAAAAGAATTAGGAGCCAGATATAATGAAGCATGCCTATGATTCCAGCTATTCAGAATAGTGAAAAAGAAGAATCATTAAAAGGATCCTGAATCCTAAACCAATCTAGGAAACTTAGACCTTGTCTTTAAAAAAAAGAGTACACTCAAATCTCCTGACTCCTTGTAATTTTCTTTCTTGACTAAATGTGATGCCTTTTTAATAATAATGGCAGGAAATAATCATCATCATACTAAATTAACTTAATCTACACACTAAATTCATTAAAACAGTCAAATAACTTTCATGACTATAAACCTTTGTAATTATTTCATAAAAATTATTTTATTTCAATTGCTACAAGAACTAGTATTTAAATCAAAGTGCTTAAATTTTTAACTGAGAGAGCTCATCCCAATTGCTATCTCAAATTATGTTTGACACATGAAAATTAATATGAAGTAAAAAAAATGAAGAATGAAAACTATGGACTTACCACCTCAGATTCTGACCCTATAAAACATAAAAATGGAAACACTCTCAGACAACAGTGCATCTGTAGGCAGTTACATAATTTCTGTAGCACAAATATACAAAGAATGCCAATTCTCTGTATCTTTCAAATAAAAAACTGGTTTAATTTTGCATCCTGGAGTCATGTTAGACTCCTTATTTCTAAGGAGTGCTATTCCAATTTTACATGCTAGGCACGCACTCGACCACTGAGCTACAACCCCAGCCCTCCTTAAGTCATTTCTTAGTAATATCATGATATATTGCACAGAAATTCATTCAAATCTCCCTTTCAATAAAAGAAAGTAAGCAAACATCAACATATCATTAGAAATCAATATCTAAGGGACTATGTACTACTTATAGAGATTAAAAATAATATTTGTTCAAACCAAAATATTTGAAATATTTACTACTATTTTGAATTGAAAGACTATGGGAAGCCTACATAACATACTTACCATTCAGAGCTTCTTGACACCTTTTAATCCAGGCAATGAAATTAGCACCTGCACCTACAAAGAAAAAACTATAACATCACGCATCTGTACAATATAACATATTCATTTAACAAATACGTAGGAAATATCTACTATGTCTCAGGCAATGTTCTAGGCACTAGGGATTCAGCAATGAAAAAAGACAAATACACCTACCATATGTAGCAGAGCACCGCAATCCTAATATTTTTACTATAAACTTACCAATACATTCAGTTATTCACCTGGAAAATTCTGCTTTGTATACTAGATTAGTTTTAACTACAGCTGAACTCATTCATTTCTCAGGTATTTATAATCGACATTTTGTCCCACCTCCCTTCTCTCTTTTTTTTTTTTAAAGAGAGAGTGAGAGAGGAGAGAGAGAGAGAGAGAGAGAGAGAGAGAATTTTTAATATTTATTTTTTAGTTCTCGGCGGACACAACATCTTTGTTGGTATGTGGTGCTGCACGCATGCCAGGCGAGCGCGCTACCTCTTGAGCCACATCCCCAGCCCCCCACCTCCCTTCTCTTAAAGAAACATCCTCTCACCCGACAAAATCAGACCCGAATCAGATTCCCAATATGCCATCAAACACGGTGGGGTGGAGACCTAGTAACCGGCAACTGGGATGAGGTTGAAAAGCCTCTTCTAGGCCCAGCCTGCTCTTCAATGCAGGCATCTATTCTGTCTACTCTCTCTTAGGGACTTTACTTGTCATGCCTTTCCTACTTATACTTTGTGAAGTTCTGTTATGTTTCCAAAACTTACATGGCAACCAAGAGACTGTATACACAGCAAACTATATAAAGGTAACAATGTGAATGTATACATAAAAGCAAACTATTCTTGAGACCCAGAACACTGAAATCTAAATAGTCATAGTCCCTACTAAAAAGGCTGGGGATGTGGCTCAGTGGTAGAGCACTTGCCTAGCATGTGTGAGGTACTGGGTTCGATTCTCAGCACCACATATAAATAAATTAATAAACAAAATAAAGGTCCATTGACAATTTAATTTTATATATATATATATATATATATATAAACAAAAATATTAAAAGTACTCTACGAATTCAAAGTAACTTCAGGCAAGACCTGAAAAATGACAAGCAGTAAAACTTAAAATTTCCTAATTTAATTAAACTACATATGCCTTAATAAAATTTTTAAATACACATGCTATATTCTAGGGAAAGGTGTATCAAAACCCTATGAAGGGCTGGGACTGTAGCTCAGTGGCAGAGCACCTGCCTAGAATGTGAGGCACTGGGTTCCATCCTTAGCAGCACATAAAAATAAACAAATAAAATAAAATAAAAACCCTATGGAATAACCTATTATTCAAATAATTAGTAAATTAAACCAAGCTTCCCATCATATAAAGGGAGGGGAAAAGGTACAAAGCTTAGAAATGTAGAGGATGACTCTTGTCTCTTTAGGTTTTCCAATATTTTATCAAAGTATTAGACAATTAGACTCTTTAAAAACTTGATAATAGTAGAGAATAGGATAGACAGCAGAATACATCAGTCACTATAATGGCAATATGTAAATCAATGGAAGGGTAACTGATGTGATACAGCAAGCTGTATACGGGGTAAAATTGGGAGTTCATAACCCACTTGAATCAAACTGGGAAATATGATATATTAAGAACTATGTAATGTTTTGAACGACCAACAATAAAAAAAATAAAAAATAACAAATATAAATAAATAAAAATAAAAATTAAAAAAAATTTTAATTTGGGGGCTGGGGATGTGGCTCAAGTGGTAGCGCACTCGCCTGGCATGCGTTTGTCCTGGGTTTGATCCTCAGCACCACATACAAAGATGTTGTGTCTGCCGAAAACTAAACAATAAATATTAAAAAAAAAAAAAAAAAAAACTTGCTAAGAGCAGATATGTAGACTTGCTTATTGAATAGTCATAATTCATGTACCAAAATTGGAGTAAGCAAGTTTAAGAACAACTATTAGTGCCCAGATCCCTTTTTAATTCTGTATTTTTCACTTGCACAGCTGGATCCAAAATCCTTTTTTCTGAGTAGGTATGTAGCAGAAAAGCAAACGTTAAAGTTGTAAATTTTTTTAAAAATATAATACTTAAGAGTTTCTCAACCTCAGCACTGACATTCTTTATGGTGGGGGGCTGTCCTGTGCATTATAGGATGTTTAGTAGCACTCCTGAGTTCTAGTAATTAGACAATATAAGCATAATCCCTATCTACCAATCATAATAATAATAATAATAATAAATCTTCAGACATTGGGAAGTCTCTCCCAGGAAGCAAAACTATCACTAGATTAATAAAAATAAAATGCTTTAGAGACTTGTGATAATACTCTATTGTAAGATATAGTAAGTACAATCAGAATTAGGCAGTCTGTAATTATTCTACAAGATTACTTACAACCAGTTATCTTTCAATATTTTTACAGATTTTTAAATTTTCAGCTCTCACAATTTGTGTTCACAGAATACATAGCTGTGATAATGTACATATTCCTCTCAAAAAGATGATATGTTTAAGAACTCAAACACTCTCAAAGCTCCATATTTCTTCTGTACCCTCTCAGAATTTACTCAAATTTACACTTCCAGATTTCCCATCTTTGCAATCTTAATAACGTAAAAATGAACAAACTTTTGAACAAGACAATTTTTCCATTAGAAAAAAAAAATAAAGCCAAAGAGTATGGAGAGAATACTCAGTATTTAGTTTGACTTTTAACTGTAAGATTTATCTGTGATTTAAATGCTAAAGAAAGGCCAATTTAATCCATTTTAAATGCCTTCAAAGTCTGTAATGAAGAAAAAAGGTGTTGCCTTTCTACAATTGAAATTAATAAAATTCAGCTATGGTATTTAAGATATACAAATGATAGATGAATTTGAGTATAATTCTAATACTTACTATCTAATTTCTGTCCTTCTGTAAAAGTTTCTAGAGCAGAAGCATAGTTTTTTTCATGGTATTCACATATCCTGCATGGACATATTAAGAGCAAATTAACACATGTATCAGATCATAGAAAACAGTCCCCTTTCTAAATAAAAAATTTCTTAGTATGCTCTACTGTTAGGTTTCTTTTGGGGGGGGGAGGGTGTTCAAAGATTGAACACGGATGTGCATTACCACTAAGCTACATTCGTAGACCACCCCTTCCTTTTTATTTTGAGACAGGGCCTCACTAAGTTGCTGAGACTGGCCTTGAACTTGTAATCCACCTGCCTCAGCCTCCCAAGATGCTGGAAATACAGGCCAGGGTCAAACCACCAAAGAGAAAAAATTTAAGTATATGCTAATGAGCCAAGAGATTTTCTAAATTACTGTAACATCTAGTATAATTCTCATTAAAATTCAATTTTAAAATTCACAAGGATTTTAATTGTACAAAATTGCTCATTTCAAAATATACAAAGAAATTAATTCTTAAATATTAAGTCCCATTTATCAACAGAAAAAAACTGTGTTTAAAAAATAAAAATAAAGGCTGAGGTTATGGCTCAGTGGTAGAGTGCTTGCCTAGCACATGCGAGGCCCTGGTTCTATCCTTAGCACCACATAAAAATAAATAAAAATAAAGGTATTGTGTCCAACTACAACTAAAAAAAATAGATTTAAAAAAAAATTTTTTTCCTAGCATCTGCAGCCCATTCAGCTTGGCTGGGGAACAGGATGTTCTCTAGTCAGTTAAATACCATAAATTCCAAATGATAAACAAAAAGGGAATGTGAAATCTATCAGTTTCATCTATAACTTGCAGTTACTTCAATCGTCACTAATTTAAACACAGCAAATACAAATCTCCTACTTTAGTTAAGGTACTAGAACTGTTATATGTAAAACTGAATCAATTCTCAGCTGTAAAATGTATAAATACAGCATTTTACCATATATATATATATATATATATATATATATATATATACATAAAGCTTACAATTACTTCATTCAAAAAATGAAACACCTACTAGCTACAGTCCAAGCCCAACAAGAAGAACAGTTCATTACACACCCTTTTCTCATTATAGCAGTGGAATTATTTGGATTGAGTTCAAGGGACCTTTTTACATCAGCAACAGCATCTGTATATAAAAAGAAAAGTATTTTTTTTTAAGTCAGTTATTTACAGATCTAGCAAATACTACACACTAGAATCAGTCTTAACACTCTTAAGTTCCCGGAAAGGCCATACAGTTTTTATCTGTTAGATGGTTTTGTTGTTGTTTTCCCAGTGCTAGAGATAGAACCCAAGGCCTCACACATTGCTTACAAGCTTTCTACCACTGAGTTACATCCCAGTCCCAAATGGTCTTAAATTGGGAAAGTTTATTTAAGATGAAATTCAAGTAAGTATTACCTTCATAAGTATTACCTTCTTTTGGTCTAATATTTAGCTTCCTTCTTAAAGCTCTTCCATTAATAAAGCCCTGTGTCACAAAGCCATTTTCACATCAATAGTATTTATGTAATGAGTTTAAGATATTAATTCTTCTCTACGATTCTCAATCAGAATTTTTTTTTGGGGGGGGAGGGATACTGGGGCTGAACTCAGGGACACTTTACCACTGAGCCATATCCAAGCCCTATTTTATATTTTATTTAGAGACAAGGTCTCACTGAGTTGCTTAGCACCTTGCTTTTGCTGAGACTGGCCTGGAACTCACAATCCAGGCTGTCTCAGCCTCCCAAGCCCCTGGGATTATAGGCATGCAACACAATGCCCACCCTCAATCAGAATTTTTAAAAAAGTTACACAATACATAAATACATTCTTTTTTATTAAAAAAAGGAAAAGAGCATTTCATTTAAATACTGTGAAATAATACCATTTTCATTAGTATATCCAAAGACTATAATTGAAATCCATACAAATTCTCTACCCACTGAAGAGACACAGTTAACAGGTGTTTCTCAACATAATGTTTGTCAAACTGCGGCTACTTTACCGATTGTTGTGAAAGACCAACTTAAAAATTGTATGATGGGGTGGGGTTGTAGCTCAGTGGCTGCGCGTTTGCCTTGCACGCATGAGGCACTGGGTTCGATCCTCAGCACCACATTAAAAAATAAATAAATGAGTGAAATAAAGATATTGTGTCCAACTACAATATTAAAAAAAAAACCCTCAAAAATGTCAACTTTTTTGGATTCAGTTTGTTTTAGACAAAATTTATGAGTAACTGATAGAGACAAGAATACACTTCATAAGAGAAGTTACCACAGTAATTCCCAAGGAGAATGTGACAATAAGCTCTTTGACAATAATACTGTGCATCATCTGGTTTCTGTTCCAAAGCCTTAGTCAGCTCCTACAAATAAAAATGTTGAGTGTTAGTAAATGTTTTTTAAAGCCACTGAATTTTAATTAAAACATAACTTTTAACCAACTAACCTATTGTTACAAGCTATTTGAAGAAAAGAATGGGAAACAAGTTGGGAGCTTTTCCTTGTAAAGTTGATCAATCTTTCCTTCCCTTTCCCCACTCCATGCTCAAAGAACACAATGTAATGTAACATTTATGTAAAGCACTTAGCAGTTTCTGGTATACAGTAGAAACTTAAAAATTATCCCCCATTTATTCTGAAAAATTTAGTTTGTATACTTCAACCAGCACAGAATTTCTCCAAATTTGGAGAAGACTCAAAGATCATACAGAATTTGAGATGCCTAGAAAATGGGAAGATATCCAATTTTAAAAATAAATCATTGAAGTTAAATCTAGAGCTCAGAGAGGTTAACAGAATCAGTAAATACAAAATTAAGCTTACCTGGCCCTGTCCTATTCTCTGTAAATGCCGAAAACCCTGAAAGATTACACTATTTCAAGCCCAGATAGACTCTCACAGACAGCTAGTGTCAAATGACCAGGGGTATTAGAGAAATTTTTAACACCTTTGATAGTCACAACATATAGATACTAGCTGGAAAAATAACTACATAGGAAAAGATCTCCTGGTTTCTTCCCTTCCAGCCACAATGACCTTTATGAAGTTCCTCAACTACCTCAGTAACTAGAATGCACCTCTCCCAGAGGTGCAGAGAATGCCTTCCCTAACTTCCTAGTTTGTGACCAGACAGCCAAAGACAGGATTCAAATCCAGGGCTTCCTGACTCTTTTAACCACAAAACCCTGCCTCTTAGTTACATGTTTTTACTCCTTGTTGCCAAAACTATCAGGAATCTATCTGTATTGATGTATTCTAATATTCTCAAAATTTCTAGCACTAAACTTTTAAAACAATTTTGAAAGTAGCAGATAGCTTATTTATTTACTAAACTACATTTTCAACTCAAACTTCTAGCTTCTTCTCAGTAAGAAAACAGAAATATTACAGTCAAAAGACCTACAGATCATACTGATGATTAGATTAATTTAAAAAGTATTTTTAGAAAAAAAATAAAGTACTTTTAGAAGTATTACAGAAGAGACATAAGCCAGATACTAGGGTGGGGAGAGAAGATTTGGAAAACACACACACACACACACACACACACACACACACACACACACACATCCCTTTTCTTTAAAAGTTAGAAAAATTTAGTTAAATGCTTTTGCATTTTAAAGCACCTCTGTAAATGACCTTAACCATAATCCAATTTCTGGTTAAGGAGAACTGGTTATGGTTATTCAGTTAAATAAGATAAGCAACTGACTTAGACTGTTATTGAAAAAAGTTATCAAAAAACCACAGTACAAACTTTAAAGTCTGACACTCAAAAAAAAACTTATAAAAGTTTTATTCATGATTTTATAAGATTTTAAAACTTATAAAATCATGAATAAAACAATTTATCTTCTGAATAAGCAACATACAATAAAACAAGGAAAAGTAAAGTTAAAATAATGATTTATGGTCTTTACATCTAACTTATGGCACGTTTTTAGAGTTCTGCTTTTTTCTTTCTGTTCTTTTGACAATCACTGCTGTCTGCTAGACTACAATGGGTCTAAGGAAGTAAAATATTTTACGGTCTTCAGTGCCAAATTTGAATTACAGCAACAAAAGGCTATTATTTAGTAAAGATCTATGCTAAACACTGTAACATGTCCACAGAAAACTAGTTAGTGGGCTGGAGTTGTGGCTCAATATTGGAGCACTTGCCTCTCATGATAAAGGCTTCAAGTTCAACCCCCAGCACTGCAAGCAGACAGAAAGTTACATATTAGGTCAGCAATTCACAAATATCAACCCTAATATAGTCTGAACAAGAGAGAGGAAAACTCTCTTTTTAAGGCATTAAAGTTACAGTTGGGCCAGGCATGGTGGCACACACCTGTAATCCCAGTGACTCAGGGCAGGAGGACTGCATATTCAAAGCCAGCCTCAGCAACTTAGGGAGGCCCAAAGCAACTTAGGAAGATCCTGTCTCAAAAATTTAAAAAGTACTGAGTATAGCTTAGTGGTAAAGCATCCCTTGGATAAATCCCCAGTACCAAAAAAACAAAATCCCCAATAAAACTAACCTAGATCTACATGTGGCATCCAGTATCCAATTATTGAAAGCTACTGATTTTTCTCCTTGCACCTTTTCTCAGTCTTTCCTATATTCGGTTTTGCCCTTGTTTCCTTTGGCAAAGAATATAAAAATATTTGCCTCCATAGTCCTTACTTCTCAAAGTTATAAATAACACCGGTTACCAAATTCAATGCATTAATTGATCATTTTGTGGCCCCTGAATATACTGATTAGGCCTTTCAATCTACTATTCTGCTAGCCTCTTTAAAGCTGTTTCCCTAAAACTCATTTATATTTAGTATTCTCTCTAGCATATTTTCTGACCTAGCCAGTTTCAGAGCTTCACATATATTTTGATGTATGCTGGTGACTCAAGTCTATATTGAGCCTAGCCAGTGCTCCTGAGCAACATCCACATATAGCCAGTTCTCTGTAGACTTCACCTGAAATGTTCCAGAAACAATCCATACACAATATTCAAAGTTTAAACCATCTCTTCAAACTTATATTAAAACTGTCACTAAGTCTAGTTCATTTTTCATAAAATAATTCCCCTCCAAGCCCTCAATCACCGCCCTAGATTTCAACATTCACCTCTTACAACTTCTCACTATATTTCTGTTATCCACTATAATAGATTATTTACTATCCCTGGATAGTAGATAATCTATTATCTACTTTGCTTTTAGAGCAGGTATAATTCAGGTAATTTCATTTCTTTCAGAATTCTTCAGAGATCTGCATGATTATGGTAAAACTGAAAATCCTCAATGTCTTAAATGCCTGGCCTCTGTATTTGTGTAGCCTTTCTCCCAAAGGACTTGCCTCCTTATGTTGCATGATCTAACACTATTTGCATATTTTTTTCTGTGCCTACTGAACTGCAGCTTCCTCTGTACAAACTTGTGTATGTGTTTTTACTTAATTGACAGAACAACTGTATAGAGTAAGATATGACATTTCAATAAATGTATACAATACATAATGATTAGATCAGGGTAACTGTTATTATCACCTCAGATATATGCCATTTCTTTATATTGGATAAATTCAAAATCCTCTCTCCTAGCTATTCTGAAATATACAATTAACTGTTTGTAAACCAGTTACCCTACTGAGCTAGAGGACATCAGAAGTTCTTCCCCTTACCTAACTGCCCCGCCCATGCCCACTGTCCATCCTCTCTCCATATTTTATTCAATCTATCTATCTATCTATTTATTTATTTATTTATGGTGCTGAGGATCCAACCTAGTGCTTCACATGTGCTAGACAAGCACTCTACCACTGAGCTACAGCCCTGGTCCTCTCTCTGTTTTTTTAAACTCTACTAGTCAGTCTCTATCCTGTTATGCTCTTATTGTACTTCAAACAAAAGCCCATTACAATAGTTATCTTATATTTTAATAATCTGATGACTTGTCTGTCCACAAGACTGTAAAATCCCTCATGGTAGTCTTTTCTTCTTTAGAGTCTTGGCCCCAGGAGAATATTCAGCACTAATAAAAGCTGTTTGGTGGCTGAAAGAAAAATGTGAAACAATTTACGCTACACAGCCCCTTTCTTCCTTATTCTTGATTGGATGGTCTTGGGTAAAACATACTCATTTTTCTGTGGAGCGAGCTCAGGGACTCATATATGCTAGGCAAATGTTCTACCATTAAGAACAGCTCCTGACCAAATATACAGATTTTAACCAATATGATAGCAAGTGACCTGAACCCCAAATGGCCTGTTTCCTTGGGGAAACAGACTAATATTCAGCATCAATGTTCTGGACCTACTTATAGTTACCAATTATTTAATAATTTACATTTACTCGTTCGTCTTTGTGAGGGCATCTCAAGGTTAAGAAATAACATTTCCTCCTAATAAAGCTGGATTTATTTCATGATCACCCTCCTTTTACTCAAAAGTTTCTGATTTCAGGTCTGTGGTGGGTCCCAAGAATATGCATTTCTAACAAGATGATACTGCAGTTGATCTGAAGACCGCACTTTTGAGAATGAATGTTCTCTAGCAGTAGACCAAAAGTACAGTGCAGCAAAATTCTTTTAGAAGTCATACTAGGAAAGAAAAAGGTCCTCTTGCCTGGTATTGCTAACCTAACTTATAACTTGAAAGCAAGAAACTCCTGGCTAAGATGGCTGTAGCTTAGGCTCTATTTAATTGTTTTTATTGAACTCTTAACACTTTTACGTTCCTTTACAACTTCATGGTCTTCCAGAGCGCAAAAACACAAAGTGCTAACTTAGTCCAGTACATAAAGAGAACTGACCCACAACAATCACTCCTTGTACACTGCAACTCGAAAAAAATATTTATCAACAAACAAATTAATAATGAGCCTTACAGGACATCTGTAAAGTTTTAGGGACATATGGGAAAAGGCTTTTGTTCTAGTATACTGAGTTCATACAGACGCTTAACACTGAGCCTGTTATGTAAGAATGGCAAGGATGACAGTCAAATGAAATAATATCATCAAGCCCAAATTTCACTTTTTCCTATAGGCAGAAATGCCATTTATAAAAAGAAAATAAGCTTCTTTGAAACCAACTATGACCCCACGAAATAAATCAGAGAAGGTGTTTTTTCTCAGGAACTGCGGGGATGCAGGATGCAGGAGTCCTGGAGAGAAGAAGAGTAAGAGCAGAGGTCTGGCCCAAAAGGGTCCGTGTGGGGCTGAGAAAAGAAACTGAGGATCTCAATACTGAGGTGGAGACACAGTAAAAACTGTAGCCTCCGTCCCAAAAAGGCAATGCTGGGAAGAGGCGGGGTTAAGCCAGAACAGAGTGGAGGAGAAAGAAATGGTCTCTCACCTCTAACGCCGCCTGGGGATCCTCTTCGATCAAAGCATCTGAAAAGCACTGGAAAAACCTGCCGGGAAAACAACGACTTCAGCAGAGCTCGCTAACCAAAGAACGGGGGGCGTTTAAAATAAACAACAAAAGGAAAGGAAAACACGCACCGCTGAGGTGTTGCAGGTTCTGCTGCGGCCGCCGCCATCCCTAACAGCCACTGTCGCTACCGGGGGAGCTGGTACTACCGCAGTTACCAGGACCGCCGCCGCCCACAGGGGAAACTTCTGGAGAAACACCAACCGAGCTTCCGTCCTAAGTAGCCAACGAGCAGGCACGCAGCGTGCGACTGGGGGAGGGGAGGCGACCAGCAGGCGCAGAGCCAGCTGGGAAAGTGGAGGACCGGTTGTCGCCGCCGTGTTTGGGGTCCCGTGACCGGCTCTGACAGTCCCTCCCCTCTCCCTGGAAGCCATGGTTACGGAAGCCGCCAGCACACTCATTTGCCCTTTCTTCCTCCATGTTCGCCCAAACCCCGCCAGCACTCTAAGAGAGCCTTCCGGAATAGTCTTTCAGAAGCACTTTTGTAACGCACTGTTATCCCTCATGAACTCTTGGCGATTGCAGCGTATGCCTGTCTGTTAATAACACAAACTGCACTGACATATTTTCACTGAAGTTCTCATCATGGTTACCGCAGAAGCCCAACCTCTCGTGAGCCGTGACGTCATTCGCGACTGCGAGTGTTTTTCCGGGAGCAGAGTCCCGGATGACGCGTGGATTCTCGCGATCTTTTCGCTGAGTACTCGCCGAGTCCCTACTCGCCGGAAGTCGTTTTGGTCCTAGAGAGGCGACCGAGGCAAAAGTTTGTTTTCTTCTCGGGCGTGTGTGTCCATCAGTCTATGGCCCAACCTTTCTTCCTAGTCGGCTTCGCAGACCAAGAACAATCTTTTCAATCCGAAAGCACCCAAGGGAGGAAAGTGGCCTAACATTGTCTCATTGCTGCTTTATTTTCCAACCCAGTTGGCCAAGCCGTCTTCCACCGTTCTCTGGCCCAAGTGGATCTAACTAGGAAGCTTCCAGCAAGTCTCACGGGACGGATTAGAATGGGGAACTGGAGGGAGAGTGAGAGGCACTGTAGATTTAAGTAATTTGAGTGTCTGGTACATCCATAGTCCACACTAAACTCCGAGTCTCAAAGATGTTAATGCCCTCAAGAAGTTTAAATCCGTTTTGTTCTAAGCGACAGAATGAAAGAGGTGATAACAAGGCGCACTTCAAAGACTACAAAGTTAACTTCCTCAAAGACTAACTTTGATACCGGAGCTCGTCCTTGAAAGATGAGAGTCGATGAAAGGAGGGAAAAGGCAATTAATTCGGACAAAAACAATGTGTTTGAAAACATAATCGCTAAAATTTGAATTTAAATTCAGTCAGAGAAACTAGAGCTAGATCGTAATGGGCAAGGTGTGGTGTGCCAAGAAGCATGGGTGTTTTTTAAATCTGCAAAGTCATCAATAGATTTGCATTTTTTAGGTAAATTATTTGTATTGTGAAGGAATGATTAAAGGGACAAGGATAATAGTTGTTGGGAAATAACTCTTAATATAGGTCAAAGAAATGATTTCTAACCCACCCTAGAGTAGGAGAGGGAAAGTATGAGTTCAGATAATCTTGAGATAAAACTGTCAGGACTTGCCAGACACAGATGGTGGATGGAGCAAGCCTGTAATCCCAGCCAGTTTGGGAGGCTGAAGCAGGGGGATTGCGAGTTCAAAGCCAGTTTCAGCAAAAGCCAGCCCTAAGCAACTCGTGAGACCCTGTCTCTAAATAAAACACAAAATATGGCTAGGGATGTGACTCAGTGGCAAATGCCCTCGAGTTCAATTTCTTGTACCGCCCCCCACACACACACACACACAAAAGAAAAAGATATGAATTGAAAGGGAAACAAGTTTTTGGTTTGGGTAATTGGTGAAAGATTATACCAGTAGCTAAATTATAAAACTGAAATGAAGCAGATTTGTACAGAGAGGTGAAGAGTATTCATTTGGATATAAAATTTTGGAGTTCACAGCATACACTAAGAAATGAAGACCATAATGATGAGACCTTTTGAAATCTTTTACAGAACCATTTTTTTGAAGTTTTCTTACTGGTTTATAGTAGTTCATATGGTTTAGAATGGAGTCATTTATTCGATACATTTATTGCAGATATATTCTCAGTTGTCTTTCATCCTCTTAATATTTGTAAAAATGTAATCCAGCTTGTATGTTCAGTTCCTTTTTGTGTCTCATTTAAATATTTCCCTACACCAAACCTGTGAAAGTACTTTGTTCTAGATGCTTTTACTTTTCATGTTTACTATGGGTCTTGAATTGTGTTAAAGGTATGAGGTTAGGGGTTAAAGTTCATTTTCTCTCCCATACGAATATCCAATTGATCCAGACACATTTATTGAAGTTTTTCATTTCTCCTTATTTAAACTGTATAGTACCTTTGTTGTCATATGTAATGTTGAAGCAACCATCTTGGAATCGGGGTTCTAAAACCTGCCAGTACCTTGATATTGAAATTCATTCTCTAAAAATAAATTTATGTTTATTATAAATTATATAGTCTTAGGTATTTGTTTTAACGACATAAATCACTTATATTATGATTTATGCAGTGAAAAACTGCAATACTAGTCTGGTTAAAAAGATTTTATTGGCCTAGATTATAGTATATTAATATTATATACTCTTAAAAATCATTTTAGAATAATTAGAATGAGAAAATAAGTGAAAATTACTTCTGGGTATAGGTATTGAATTACAATTTTATTTATATTTTTCTTAATGTTTTCCAAATTTAGCAATTAAGTTTCTAATTAAAAAACTTGTTTTGGGCTGGGGATATAGCTCAGCTGGTAGAGTGCTTACCTTGCATGTACAAGGCCCTGGGTTCAATCCCCAGCACCACACACACACAAAAAAATTGTTTTTTACAAGTGTGTTTAATATTGTTGAGAATATTTTATTTTACCCGATTCTTGGAGCTTGGTTGCTATGGTTTGAATGTCTGTAACTGTTAAGAGGTAGGACCTTTAAGATTATCATCACCAGAGTAGATCTGTTATAAAAGCAGCCCCCTTTTCTGCTTTCTGTCATGAATGACTCAAGAAATGCCAGTATCATACTTCCTGGTCTCCAGAACTGTGACAAGGATCCCACTACCACCACCCCATCCCGCCCACCCCATACTGGGGATTGAACACAAGGGTCCTCTACATCCCCAGCTCCAACCCTCAACCCATTTAAAAAAAAAATATTTGACAGTTGCCAAGACTGATCCTTCTGCCCCAGTCTCTGAAATTTCTTAAATTTCCACTGCACCCACCTGAGAAATAAATTTTTATATATATATATAAAATCATTTAGTAGTAACACTGTAAATACTAGCCAACAATCTCTGTACACTTGTTAAGAAATTTTTGCCCAAAAACAAATATTGAGAATTACACGATTTATTTAATAAACCAATTAAAGATACAAAAAATGTTTAGAGGATTCCAAAATTTAAATTTTCATTTAAATACAAATTCACTTTATAATATGAAAACATATAACATTAGACCTCTAAACATGATTTTTTTCATCTACAAAATTTTTACTAGAAAAGTTTGCAGAAAACAATTTTTATTGTGACACTAAATGTACATTATTTACAGTTGAAAACTCTAAAAACTATTTCATTTCAGAAACTTGGATATATGTGTATGCAATTCCCTTCCCCTCTCCACCCCCAGTAAAAAATAATCCAAAATATAAAGCTATTATGCTTTTATAACAAATGACTACTCAAGCCAGATTAGCCCAAGACTCAAGTTGTCTTCTTGGTCTTTAAGAAAGTGCTTTGACTTTCTTAGAATAGCAGTATACCATTTAACACTCAGCAACAAAAGTTTACTATAATGGACCACAGTACACAGTGATCTAAAGAATTAATGAAAAAAAAATTAGGATGAATTTATGGCAGATTTTATTGATAATAGAGTGAATTTTGTACGGATCACTTATTTTTCTATAATATTTAAGCTATATTGCTTTAGGAAATAACTTGATAATGTTTTAATTGATAATTTTAAAACTAGAAGGGAAACTAGAGATCATTTACTCCTATGTGTCCCTTATGAGAACTGAGGCCCCAAAAGAATCAAGTGGTTTGCATTGCCCAAGATTACATAGCTAACTAGGGGGAGAACCACTCTTAGGATGATATTTTATACTACTCTGCTGAAACAGGTTGAGCCATATCATGGGCATATTTCAATTTTTAAGGTTACTTTTTCATAGTTTGTTATACAGTACAACCAACTAAAGTCAATCTAAGAGACATAATTTTAACAAAGAATAAAATAAGTTTCTTGCATTTTAGAGTCAAGACTTAACTTATACAAGTGGAATGAAAATACTTCCTATATAAATTTCCTGTTGCCTTACATTTAAGTAATGTATTTACAAAAGAATCAAAACAGCTAATACAATGTAAAATTAGAAAAGAAACTTTAAAAATGTTTATGGTATAACAACTGGAAAAAAAATCTCAAAAAGATGTCTTCATAGTATAAAATGCCTGTTCCTTCACAATGAATTCTGAAACATTTGGAGAATAAAGAGAAACACTTGGGTTTTACTCCCTCAACTAACAAAATCAAAATTAATTCAATTATTTTTTTTCCACAATCGCAAAATTAGGAACTTCTGTAGATTTATCTTAGAATCAGTTTAGACAACTGAAAATGAGTTCAATTATAAAACAATCATCCATAAATCCTTTGGTACATTATTTAAAAAGAGTTGGGTTCCAGCAGTTCATTTTGTTTCATAGCTACCTGAGAGGCAAATCCATTGGTACTGGATACCACCATCACATAAGGTTGTGGCTGTTGCTCAGTTTTCTCAGTTTCTTCTTTCAAATGATCTTCAATCTCCTTTTTTTCCACTTCCTGTATAAGAGTTTTTGTCTCTTGAGCTTTGATAACTGAAGTAATTACAGTGCCAGGAGGGTGAGCAACCAGTTGTGAACTTCGAGGAGAAAAGGTCACCACAGGTGTAGTAGCACTGAAGGACGGGGATGAAGTCATACTGACGGTTCCATTGCAAATGGACTGAACATTGCTAGTAAGAACCTGTTGTACATGGGCAGGGCTAAAGACAATTGAAGGAGGAGAGCCTGCCTTCTGTGATGGTAGCATGACATTTTCTTTCAGTACTGTCATGGGCTGTGATGATGGAATAGCTTGTAAAATAAATTTCTGAGATCCAGCACTGGCTGATGGATCTGTGCTGGCTATTACCGTTGTAAGTGGCACCGTTTGGAGTGTTACTGTGTGCAACTGCTGATTCCCAGGAGACACAACCACTGGAACTTGGGTTGGAGCCTGTATAGTCCTATTGAGAAAACCAAATAAAAGTGAGACAGCATATTCATTATTGAAATCTTAATACTTGACAAGTCATCCTGAAAAACTACAAGTCTGGCATTTCAAATGCTGTTTCCCATATTTTTTACACAGAATAATAAACATCATGCCAGGTATACATCATACATATTTTATCTCTGAAACCATTCATAATGATATCATCCATGAGTGCTATTTAAAAAAAAAAACCCTCTGTATAAAGTGCCACATCAACACATCTG